AGTGTTTAGGGCTTGAGCTATGCGTGGATCTGGTTGTAGGCCTAGATGAATTTAGTTTTGGCCCTACATACACGTGCCGCATCATATTCTTGTACGTTTTGGGTGTCAGGCCATTTACGAGTAGGAGTTGTTCGACGATGTCAAAACAGCCGATTTTGTGTCGATACTTTACGATTTCTTTCGCCAATGCCGAATCCACTCCAGGAATTTTGCAAAAACCTCTTGTCGTACAGTAATTAATGTCGACAGGCTTATGTTTAGACATTTTTACTGCATTTGGTTCGATCATGTCAAGTGCTCCCGAAAGTTTAAAGATTACAGAATTGAATAGCAGTTGCAATCCGCGTAGTGAATGCGCGCACAGTGCGCATGGTTTCACTGCGTCTGAGCTGCGCGCCTGTAACTCGGCTGTGAGTAGCAACATGAGAAAAATGATCCACAGCAATAAAATTTTCAAAACACTTTCAGCAAAGATAATAGAGAAAATAAAACTGAGAGTGTTTAATACATGACCAGCTATAGTACTGATGGCCTACTTCACTAAAAAATAAAATCTCTTATTATTTTCAGTCGGGTTTCAGACCATCATCATGTGTCTTGTATTTGAATGGATGCTAAATAAATAAATAAATAAAATAAATAATTTTCAACTCATTCTTGTTTGTTCCACTCAATGGCAGATTTAGGGAGGGGATGTACATATATTTTTTTTCTGTTTTTTTTCAATAACTTACTAACTTCTGTTGTCAGCAGTTAACTATGGGGTGTCATACGCAGCAAAAGTCCATTCTAAAATCAAAATGTAATTGCAAAATTGAATGTCTAATTTTTCAAAACGTAGTTCAAATTTTCCAAAATGTAGTTCTAATTTCTTTAAAATGTAATTCAAATTCAAAACGTAGGTCTGACTTGATCAAACGCCCTCTCCAAATTCTGTTCCAAAACGTAAATAAAAACCAGCCAAGCATAACTGGTTTGAAATACATTTTACAACAACACAAGACATGCGAAATGTAAATCAAAACTGGAACAGAATTTGGAGAGGGCGTTTGATCAAGTCAGAAACGTTTTGAATTTGAATTACATTTTAAAGAAATTAGGACTACATTTTGGAAAATCTGAGCTACGTTTTGAAAAATTAGAACTTTATTTTAAGAAACTAGATGTACATTTTGAGAAATTTACGCATACGTTTTGATAAATTAGACATTGAATTTTGCAATTACATTTTGATTTTAACATGAACTGTTGCTGCGTATGGCACTATATAGTTAACAGCATTCGTTTTATCTTGCTTTTGCTTGTTATATTTTCCTTCATATTTCTGTGTACTCTGTAAGACCGCACCACAGTGTGTGAGTGCCACCAATACAAAGGTAGGCCTGTATTGTATTTATTTACGGTATACCATGGGTATACTGTATAATAACATCCCGCACTGAATTAACTCACCCACTTGAGCCGGCCTCATTTGGAATAAACGCCTCCTTGGAGAAATGGCCCGAGGCGTTTGGATTGGATTGGATTAATGGATTATCCGGTGTAAACACCAAGGCCCTTATTTCCAGTGGGGTACTTCTGGTGGTGATTGGGCAGTACACCTGGAGACAATCCCCTCCTCTTTTCCGAAGAGTGTACTGCGTTCTTTAACGTGCACATGGGCCCAACGGCTTAAACGTCTAATCCAAAAGACGGTGAGCTGTTTTAACTTGTATTTCAGCCCTCCAACTGAAACACAAGGAGAGGCAGCAATTGGAATTGGACCGGGGACCTAGGAGATCTCCACTGTTCATCAGCGCACACACAGTGGCTAACACCAGATTAGCTGACTGAGAGCTAAGCTGAGTTTATTTTTTCCTCATATAAACACCCCCTAATTGAATGTAAGCAAATCTAATGAAAGCATTATTCTCAACACATTCTATTAAATGTTCTCCAGTAGAAATACATTTTTCTAATGGTTGGGATCAGTAAGTCTTTATGATCACACAATAAGACGTTTTGAAGGTATGTGTATTAGTTCTACATTTACAGTGAAATTAACGGGTTTATTTTAGTATACCCGTATCTATTTTACACCAATAAATAAATAAACGCCTCCTTTGAATAAACGCCCCCTCAAAAACCCTTCTCAGAAATAAACGCCCATGGGTGTTATTCGAATAAACAGGTAAATATTTTCTTTGTTTGGCGTCTCCAGTTTAGCCTAGTTTTAGTTAATTATGTACTCTTATCCCGAGATTTAGCCGCTGGATTTAGAGCGATCAAACGAGAATCGGAAATTAATAGTATTTGCATTTCAATGGAATCTGATTAAATTCTAAAATTCAATATAATACTACCGTGAACAAATCATTTACATAATCAATGTTTTTCGTACTAGCATTCACAATTTTCGGAGTTGGAAATTTTATATTTGGCAAACCTGGTTTTGGCAAAGTAGACGCGGCAATATAGGATTTGGCAATGTGGGTTTCGGCAATCTGGCCTAGATCGCAGGGGTGGCGCCAGGATTTGCCCAACGGTTGGGGGGGGGGCGATTCCCCCGACGAGAGGTTAGATTTCTCCGACAAAAGCAATGTGGGCGTGGTTTCGAAAGGTGGTCCAGGGAGCGAAGCCCCCGAAAATTTTAACAATTTAGGGGTTTCAAAGGCTTATTTCATCGATTTTAGTGTCTACTAATATGTAGAAAATACATATAATTTTTTTTCTCCCCGACGAATTGTGCTTTTTCTCCCCGACGGGGAGGATGGGGGAGCACTCCTCGACGGGGGGGGGGGGCTGTTGGCCCCCCCGGCTCCAGCTGGCGCCACTCCTGCTAGATCGCTGCAACCTGATCAGACTGGCTAAAGCTTTGTCTACATTACATTATAAAATTTTATGTGACAAAAAAAAATGTGATGTGCCCAAATATGGGTACGATGACGTCATATTACATATCAAATTGTATCAAAAAAATGTAGAACGTGTTCAACTAAAATTTATGCCTATATTTTTCCATGATTTATAATAATTGAAGTACCGTAATGCATATGCATCTTTTCTATATAAAAAAAAATGTTTTTAGCGAAATTTTGCTTTAAGCTACGTTCACATCAAGCCCAGATCCAGTCCGGAGCCCAGACAAAAAATCGTGAGTTGCTACGTTTGTTGAACGCTGCGTTCACATCGTGCACGGAACACGGTTGTATATGGAACGCCAAAAGAACAAATTACAAGTGGCGCAGCGCAAAAGTCAAGTGCAGAACAAAAGTCAAGTGGCGCAGTGCGAAACTAAAGTGCGACACACGCATTTGAGTTCGCACCACGCAACTTCAGTTTTGCACTGCGCCACTTGACTTTTGCGCTTGACTTTTAGCGATATTGTATGGAAAGCCAATTTGTCATCAAAATGTAAATAACTCATTTTTACTAGGCCTGTATTATTATTATTACTTTGTTCTCTTCGGGAGCATCCCCCTATCGGGGACCTTGGCCCCTGTCGGGGAAATGCTGGTGCCACCCCTGAATTAAACTGTATTTAGACAAAGATAATTCCATACACATTCTCAACACTATAGTGTAGCCTCTGAGCATGGCTTTTTCTTTTATTGAATGTTGAAATCCCCCTTTACTTGTATGTTCTACCTCCTTTTTAAATCACCATTTACACATCATGCAATTAATTAGTAGGCCTATTCAATTCCTCAATCATCTACATCAACAATTGGAAATTTGCTTCCCATTGGAGTGTACAAATATAAAAAATCAAAACTTAAAACTTAGGCATAGTAATTAACAACACAAGAAATAAAAATCAGGACATAAAAATAAACATTTAAAACGTAGAATTTGATATATATATATACTGTCTCTTATACACATCTAGATGTGGACAACACTGTCGTAGGGGGTCTGGGGCATGCCCCCGCGAAATTTTTGTGTTCTAGACGCCCGAACATAACATTTGAGGCATTCTGGGCTATCATTTTTTTCTTTTTCTCTCTTTTTTTCCTTTTTTTACCTCCCAAAAGGGGGGGGGGCCGGCCCCCCCCTAAATCCGCCCCTGTCTATCCTTAATGTTTGAGTGCACCATCACTAAATTAAGAAAATGCTGTGTAAATGAATAAGCATTTTAATGGTTAAGATCCACTGCATTATTATTACAAAGCACAATGCAAGTTCCAGCATCAGTCTTTGGACATACTGTACTGTTTCTGTTTGCTTATATCCTTTGAACATGGTGGTGAATGCAAGGGCATCACTTACCTATATTCATAAACAAACATCACAGTTAAATTACAGCATTTGAATTTGGCAGGCCATACGATTTTCCAATGACATACCTTTTTCATAGAAATGTCATTAAATTCAAGAATAAGAACTACTTTTTGAAAAAGTGCAAATACTGTAGTATCTTATGTGTAACTTTTTACAATGGGGAAGAATAACTGCTTTCAAATGTAAATGAAAGTAAAGTTACCAACAGAGCTACAAGTTTAAAAGTCGGAGTGCCCATCTCATTCTTCTTGGCATTTATGCCAGACCGGGCTATGCAGAGGGGTTCACCACTCTTCCATCATAAATGAGTCTGTTTACCTTCCCAGCATATGCCAGTACCCATTTATACTCCTGGGTGGAGACAAACGCAGATAAAGTGCCTTGCCTAAGGACACAAGCGAAATGCACAGCGTGGGTTTGAAAACCCTATGTCAACATTTTGAGTCGGAGTCACAATCACTGCTCCAGACGCTCCCACAAATGTACATGTAATGTTTATGATCTCGCAAAGAACAAGTGCATCTAGGTGAGATTTAAATTTATTGTACAGCAAACATATTAAAATATTTAAATGTTTGTTTTTGATTGCAATCAAACAAGACAAAGTATTCAAAATCTAGACTTAAAATTTTCTCGCAGCAATTTCTTTTAGATGAATATACAATAATTGATATTAATATTGTTGGTTTGAACTATGGACTAGTACTAAGTGCCATACTATAGTTTCAGTTTTTTTTTTGTTTTTTTTTTTTACAAATTCCCATTAATACCATGTAACTGTACAGTTGAATCGTATACATATATTATATAAAAATCATTTTTAATTGAACTTAAAGCCAACATATATAATTTTCTATTTTTGAATTGAAAATGATGTTAATATCAATGTTTGTTTCAGAAATATTTAAAATTCAGACAAAATTCCATGAGTTGATACAGAATTGCCTGGACACAGACTGAAGAACACATGGTGTTATTGTTTGTAGAACATGTTTGAGTTAAAATCATTTATTCATTTTACATATCTGGATGTTTTTACTTGTTTTAAAATTCATCAAGCATCTGCTTAGGACAAACAACGTCAGAATTTATTATTCACTTCCTTCCAGTTTCAAAAAGAAATTGCATAAACACATAAACAACATGAAGCAAGAACCAAAACGAATTTAGTATCTTTATTTAGATATAGCAAAACTCCTATGCTAATATGATACATAACATGTGGAATTACTTTCGCATCCAAGAAAAACTCTGTCCAAATTTTTACATTTTCTTTAAACAAAAAAATGTTTTATATATAGTCATGGTGTTACTATATATGGTCAAGATATGATGTCATCATGACCATATTTAGGCATGTCACATGTTTTTGTCAAATTAAAGTTGATAGTCTGGACAGAGCTTTACAAAGTAAAAATCTTTGTCTTTAAAAAATATGACAGCACTTCACATGGTGTATTAGCTTACATCAAAATATATTCACCAATAATTTTGTCATCTGTCAATTTAATGGTTCCTCTTTAAATTAAATGACGATTTAACCTCCTTTTTAGCGCTACCATGTCAGTGCGCCCTCAACCCACCTCAAAAACCAAAGTGATCTCCCACCTGGTACAATAAATATTACAAATTTATAACCCTTTAATTGTTAATCACTGATTAAAAACAGCTCACTTCCATGTTTCTACTTACAAGAAACATGACTTGAATTTTGTTAGCATTTTCATTTGGAGAGGTTGAGTCTTATAGAGTTTTTAACGACAGGAATTGGTTGAGGAACCGGGGACATAATATCACTTAGTTCTCTGCTTTGTGCCCTCTGTAAAAACAATGAAACAAGACAGCAGATGTGGAAATAATCCAGTTATATATAAGTTATATTTCACTATATTTCTCAATATAGGCAAACATAATATATAAAACATAACATAAATAATAAATCAATTTGAAAATTACTGCAATGTTCAGTCAATAAAGAAACAAAAATTATACTGATGGAAATATATTTCATAAATGTGGATTTATGTAGGCATTAACAAAATAACCTTAGAACAAGTTATTTCTAAACTTGTGTGTTGAATTGGGTGATATGCAATTCTGTGACTTCCTACTAAGAAAAGGGAATGAACTCTGCAATTTTCTGTAAACTTTGCAGCAATGTGTGAAAAAGTAAATTAGTTTATTTATTGTTCAATTCTTGGTCTTTTAACCTAGGACCATGGGCCAGATTTATCAAATTGGCTTAATGAAACAAATTAGCTTAAATTTGTAATTTTGGTTAGATTAGATTTATCTCATTCCAGTCTGGACACTTGCGAGCATGATAAGCCAAAAAACTCTGCACTGAAAAGCTAAATGAACTTGGTCATAGACCTTCACTAGACATTGTGGAGAAAAATTAGGACTAAAATTTTGACAAATAGTGTCATATATTTTCTATTGTTTTATCAATGTTTCTTTCATGCACTAAAGATCAAAGAAATGTTTTCTCGCTAGTAAGATAATTATATAACTGCGATGATGTATTCCTAAGCTGGGCACAGACTGTGTTATCCGAACATGAGCATAAATCCTCTGTGAGAGCCCTTGACAAAGCGACGCTGTCTGCCGATTGTGACAATCTGAGTAGGTAGTCATTGCTATGCAGACTCAATGGAATCGCACTAGCCAACTATTGGCAGATCATGTCAGGGGAAATAAATTTATATATTTCCCAAATCTACAGCAGTGAATATTTGTTTTATCTACTCGATACATAGATTCTACAAGGCCTAAGAAAAAGTAATGAAAAGACTACCAAACAAGTAGGCCTGGGCCTACTTCCTAGGCCTAGGTGGAGAAAGGGCCAATCTCTTGCAGTTGAAGTTGCAGTCCCCTTTACCGTCTGGCATGTAATAAATTACCTTATATGTGGGGCCTCAAGATTACTTCGCGATAAGGAAAAAAAAGTACTATCATTCACTGTGTATTTTTTTTCTTAGGGAATTTATGAACTATCATTCAACCTACATGATGGTTGAAGTTATTACCCACTTTTTAACCAATCAGATGCCTGGGCTCTATGTATGGGGTATATAAAAGTAAATATATGTTGGTTTCTCAGTGCGTGTGTGTGTAAATCATGACAGCTTTTGCTCATGTAGAAGTAAATTCCTTTACGCAAGTAAAAAAAAAAATGGTTAACCAAAAAAATTGCTTTTATTCATGATTACATTTGAAATTGTCCAAGACATGGCTTAGGATGGTTTGATAAATGAGCTTAAGTAGTTTGTTTTAGGCCCACTGTACCTTTGTTGAATTAAAGCAGTTTTCTAAGCTGAAATTGATAAATCCCAGCCCACGGAATTGAAAAACTAGCAACTACCAAGCTACAGTTGTACTCAACATGATAATATGCATACAATCTTACCTTCGAAATATCAACTTTTGGTCTATCAGGACTAGAATGATGAGAGGTAGACTGGAAGGCAACAATAGTTATATATTATTGTACAGTATAATGAATATATTTTTCTTTTGGTTGGATTTAAAATAACAAATTAGCATTAATATAAACTAAATTATTATTAGAATATAATTATTATTAATATAAACTAAATTATTATTAGAAGTGGCACAAAGATATTATTATTCAACTTTACTTTAAAATGTATATATAATAAATCATTGTAGGCCTTTAGATTAAAGATATACTGTCCATAATGAGCTTAATAACTATTTGGATTCAAGTATGTCATTAGCTTTAAATACCATTCTTATATTGTCTGTTATAATATTGTCTGCCATTTATAGATTTTAAAAAGGTAGAAAATATTGATAAAATATATAAAAAAAAGAGTATTTAACTTCCTCCCCTTACCACTTGTTCTGGGGACTTACAACCATTGTTGGTAGCATCTGATGGTTGGGCTGGTACTGTCACCCTCTCAGCTTCAGAGGTGGTTTGGACATCTGTGGCAAGATCCTCTAACCCATTCTGCAGATAAAGGCAAGACATAAAATTGCAACACTTTTTAAACATACATAAACTGGTTGACATGCAATAATAATTCTGGTAGGTGTTAGGCTTGTTGGCAAGTGGTGTAGTTCTTGTCTTCATTTCTGTTTTGTTTTTTGTTCTCCTTATTGGCACTTTTAAATTTTAAATGTTTAACCTCATTCTTTTTAACAATTATAATTAATCTTGTTTTATATATTTTAAGTGCAATGCAATTTTAAATGATTTGTTTGACATTTTTACATATTTTAAGATAAATTTTAATGCTTATCTGAATATTTTTATATCTCAAATACATTTTAAATTAAATTTGCTCCTTTATTGATTTTTACTCATTCTTCTATATTTCAATATTTATCTTTTGATTTTTTTATCTTTCTGAAGAATTTTATATTGTATGTATTGTGTTTTTCTTGTAAAGGACCTCCACTCGACAGTGATTGATTTTACTTTTGGAGTGTCCTGTCTCTGTTTTTTGTACTTTTGTGATTGTTCTTTGCCGTTTCTGTTTATGTACATTCTAATTGTTTGAGACAAATAAATGAAATCAAATGAAAAAAACTTTGTATCTCAGTATCTATATAGTTTGTTGTTTTCTATAGATTTTTCTCCTTGTTTTTCTTCCACATCATGAGACCTAAGCAACCTTGTTGACCTTCCGTATATACTACCATGATATTTACCGATTTGAATCGCCTCTGCTCAAAATTTGTAACTTTGATGTTGTCGAACAACATACCTGCAATTTTGATGCATCACTGGTACTTTCCTGTGAGTTTCCTGGTTTAAGTGTACTTGATACTGCAGTATCATCCTCTAGTTTGCTCACTTTAGCAGGTGATGTAGTCAGTGAATCAGATGGAGGCCGCTTTGGTAGCTGGAAAAGAAAAATCAAATATCCAAGGTTTTAGTCTGTATTATAGGTGATGGTACACAAACCCACAATTATACCCACTACTAGTCATAAAATGTAGACCTCATCAAAGACAACAAAAAGAAAACAATGACCTCTATTTTGCTTTTTTTGGCAGGAGATGTACTCAGTGAATCAAGTGATGAATCAGATGTGGGTCGCTTTGATGCTTCCTACAAAAAGTAAATCAAATAATAAAGAGTTTAGCCTGTTTCTGAGTGTATACAATATATTAACTGAAACCGAAACACAGGAGTACTTATTCATAAAATGTAGCCCTAAACAAAAACAAAACAAGACCTATTAAGGTTCAAGATTTCTGTTCTACTATAGTAACTGTAAATTCTCATTCTGAATTACAACCATACTGTAAATGTAAAATATTAATCAGGATTAACAAGTATTTGAAGCTCAAAATTATTCTAGAAATACTTACCCAGTTTCAAACATTTACTTTACCTCTATTTTGCTTTTTTTGGCCGGTGATGTACTCAGGGAATCAGGTGAATCAGATGGGGGTCGTTTGGATACATTCTACAAAAGTGAAACAAATACTAAAGGTTTTAACCTGTATTAACAAAAACTCACTGGTAATAGTGTCATAAAATGCAAACCTCATCAAAATCAAAGTCACACCCATGGTGTTGAAACGGTCTTTCTCAATTACCATCGTACTGTAAATATAAAACATTATTCATGAATTAACCCTACTTGTTCCAATCACTTACTTTAAAAAAATAATATAAATAGTATTCCAACTAATACTATTAGTATTTGTATTTGTCCATCTGCATTTTATACCGTTTATACAGTATATATTCCGATGCCAAAATTTTGTACATGTTTTACATACAATGCAAAACAAAGAAATCATATCAAAATCAGATATGGACTTTTGTATAATTCCCTTAAAGTAAAAACAGTATGCTTACTTTTCTTGGTGTAAACAGTTTCGCTAACTACCAGTTAGCATCGTCTGTACGATTACACCAAAAAAACTGATAAAATTTGACCAACATATATAATCAATATACATTGAGATTGGAATTATGATTAAAACTAGCAATTACACAAGTTGTGTTGCTACATAATATAATAATAATAAGTTAGACTTATATAGTGCTTAAGCGCTTCGCATTATTACCCCCGTTCATTAGATTAAACGACTATGGAACATTGAATATTCCATAATGTTGCAGCAGTTACATCAGTGCATTTTGGCATTAAACCCTACCAGCTACCCATTTATACTCCTGGGTGGAGAGAAGCAATGCAGATACAGTGCCTTGCCCAAGGACACAAGTGGAATGCACAGCGATTGGATTGAAACCCCGACCTCAAGGTTGGGAAACCAAACCCTTCCCACTGTGCCAAACCACATCCACAGATGATTTATTTTTAAGGCCAAGTAAAAAAAAAAATCGAAATGACAAGTGACACAAATGTAAGTAATCGATCATATATTAACATTAATATGCAACCCACTTATTGTGACTTCTAAAAAACATGTCTAAGATCTTGCCAGACAGCCTCTCCGAATATGCTGCAATTATAAAAAAAAAAAATGTTGCATATAGCGGTTACTTACAGATTTGTTACTGGCCATTGGTTGGTCGTCTACATTAACATTTGATGTGGACACTTCTGTTCCATTTTTCTGGAAAAAAAAGTAAGAGCCTTTAATTATTGAAAGAGTTTCATTTTGTGGGTCTACATTTCATATTAAAAGTAAAATTCTATAAGCAGACGATCTTAAAGACCCAGTGTCTGCAAATTTTCAATGAGTTAATTTTTCCTATTCTACCGTTGTTGGGTAATTTACTATACACAAAACATATACTTGGTACTTCAATACAGTGTATTAGCCTATAAACAGGTAAAAAGAGACAAATCCCGCTATAAATCCCATCATGCATCACTCGCGGATTGATAATTTCTGTTGAATTCTGGTTATGCGCCTCTATTTGTATGAGGAAATCCGGAAATCCCCCATGCTTTACATGCAACGTTTTAAACACATGGGATATAGGCCTAGCCGTATCGGTTGCAAGATGTAGCAAAGCGAAAGCTAGCTTGAAGCGAGGTCGTCCTCGAATGACTCTTTACAGATTCTGTTAGGAAAAGAAGAAAAAGTCAACGACGAGATAACTGATGGTATCCGAAGGCATACCACTACCACCAGAAAGAAAGAAAAGGCGGCGAATCCATGCTGGCTGATAGTTATGGATTTCTGGTAGGTCTTCTCATTCTGGCCTAGCTTAGTTAGTAGGGCGGGATAGGCCCTAGGCCTATATAAAAAGAAACTTAGCTGGGATGATTGATAAGCGAACTAAGCACATATCTATGTCATACATTATAAGCTTAGGCCTATACAACACACACTACAGCACCTCCGTCAACAAAGAATGTATAATACAAAAGGACATCAACAAAGTAATGTAAACAAAATATAACTGATTAGTTGATGATTTATTCAGTAGCAAACAACGAACTGGCACTCGTGTCCAGCTCTGAACAAAACCTGAACTAAACTGTTATAAAACTGTTGTAAAAACAGTCAAGACGTAATCACTGTAAAACTATTACTACTGGTTATTAACAATATTATATAATATGCACCTCACTTTAAGTTAGCTATGGCAAGTGCAAACGCGCACAACTGATACATGACTAGAAGAAGTAGATTTCACGATATGTGCACGCACAATACTTGATTGTTAAATAATATCAATGTTACACTATATAGCTTTATTATACATTAAGATCAAACCCTTAATATGTACCTGTTGGAGACGGAAATTCATCCCGAATCCTCTAAACGCAATATGAGGGAATAATCCATCTATCCCCCTAATCAGATACTGGTGCCTCTAATAAGTAAATGGACGGTAGCTGTGATGGCGGTTTGATTATTCAGCTCTTCTGGTTCCAATTCTGCAAGCTGTCGAAAATCCTGCTTCATGGTTCTGGAAAATGACAGCTGCATCTCATCAAAAAACGTACAGTAGACTGCCATTGTCTGAAATTAAAAAGTATCAATATTCTTGTAACTTCTATGCACTGAATTGTATGTTAAAAGTTTATACAATATTATAAAATATGAACTGAAAATATATACTGAATCTTGTCTCTTATTCATAAAGCATATATTACAGTACACACATTGTAAATATAGTTATTTAGTTTAAAGATGGGGTATTGACAGTAAAAAGAATTTCCAACATCAATAATCTTTGCCTACATTGCATATGCATAATGTACAGTGCCATGTATTTACAGAATTTGTTTATACCCCATGCATACACACATGTGTTTACTAAATCCACAACACCTGAAGATGGGCCTACCTACATGATTGGTATACTATTTTCTTGTTTTTGTTTTTGTTTTTATGTTTGTCCATCCATCTGCCCAAATAGCAGTACATTTTAAATTTGGTAAAATCTATAAGCACGAGTGTTGGCAGGCCACAACCCACACAAAAATTCCTAAACAACCTTGGCCGAGCTCGTCCAGCAAAGCATTAGGCCGACCAGCCCTCCATAAACTAACGTTAGAATACCGCACTTTCGGCGGTAAACAACAATTAAAACCTCATAAAAAGGGCAACTAATCCGTTTACCTATAATTGAATCCAAGGACACCAGTGTTAAACACTCAGTACTTATCCTTGATAATGTGTTAATCCAATTAATATAGTGAGATAACCCTAACGTTAGTTTATCGAGGGCGGGGTGAGCTAATGGGTACGTACTGTAGTAGTGTAAGCTGAGGCCTAGCCCTACTATGCCTTTGTCACACACACACGCACAGGATATACTTGCATAAAAAAAAGACTTGTTATCATCGAGGCTAGTATACCACAAATACCACATAAATGTATTTACAATTATAGAAGAGCATAATCAATACTTACAACATTGAAATTATTGTCCAGAACTTGATACTATACTCTGAAGTTATGGAGCGATTACCCGGCCAGCCAGCCGCACTATGTTTGTTTACATGTCAGTAGCTTTTAAACGGATCCAATCTAAGCTAGGCCTATCGTCGAAGCACAGCGGATCCAATCTAAGCTAGGCCTAATGTCAAAGCACAGCGGATCCGATCTAAGCTAGGCCTCTCGTCGAAGCACAGCATAGCTGAGACAGTCGCTTCGCAGGCGCATTATTTCTCCTTTTTTTTATCATCAATCGTAAAACATGTATTTATGACGAAAAAATGACTGGTTTATGAAAATTAAAGTAATGGATATGCATATTTTCCATAAAAATGTCATTTTTGAGGAAATTTGCAGACACTGGGTCTTTAACTCATTCATAAATTGTTCCTTTATTATCAATCTCGTCTGTATCAAAATTTATTTGTTTGATTTTTTATCAAAAACAGACACTGTATCAGTCAGAGATGATGGGTGGACTTAATATATGACCCTTTGCTCGCTTTATTTCATCCTTTAAAAGGAAATTCTTTGCTCGGAATATATACATCATAAAAACAGTTGAAATGGTAAAAATTTGAAATAAAAAAGCTGTGAAAATCATTTAAAAGTAATTAATCACATAATTTCATTTTACACATCAAGACAATAAGATTTTATTCAGCAATATTCAACAGAAAGTCATGCTACCTTTATCATTATTATACCTTTTTCGAATACACTAAAAATAAATTGTATTTACCTCATTTTGGTCATGATTTGGAATTTCAAGGCTTGGATCCTTGCTTTCAACCTCAGCTTCAAGAGAAGAACTACTTGAAACAACACCTATTTCTGAATTTTCAAATTCAGGAGTAGAAACACTCGTAGAGGCATTTGAGTCGGCATTCACTTCAACACCTGTCTCTTATACACATCTAGATGTGTATAAGAGACAGGTTGTGAAGTCAACATAAGGAGCTGAGCGTTTGGCTGATTGGTATGGTTCTTGCCTCTTGCACGTCAGGGCCAAGGTTCGAGACCTGGCTCTGCAGCCGAGTACTGAATTCGGGTCTTTTATAAACGTTCAGCTCCTCGAATAACCCTTTCAGGAGAGTTAGGCAATTTAAGGACCTGTGTATCCTTTGTATGTTTAGTTTAAATGAAGTGGCGCTGCACTGCGCTTGCCGTGGGTCCGCAAGGGACCCAGCCCATATTCCCAGTGTTTATTACATTGAGAACAAAAAAAAAAAATTATTAGAGGGGAGTATAAACAAATAAATGGCTGATTTTCTTACCATTTTAAATGATCTTTTTCTGAGCCTGCACTTGCACTCAATACAATGTAATGTCTGCAAAACAAAACAAATACCAGTATTTATACTGAGGAAAGTACACTGAAGTGTTAAATCAAGCATCTACACCATTTTTCACTTAATTTTATTTTTAATAATTAAACAAAAATGAAAAATGAAATAAATAAAAATACTTACTTGTACTGATGGAAAAAGTTAGTAGGCTCAAACAATTTATCCCAGGGCAACTTTCCTTTAACGATTTCCTCTGTTACCTCCAAACCTGGAATAATGGAATTGCAATAATTATCACAAACATATTTATCTAAAAATATAACTTTCCACAAAGAAAAAGTATTAACTGTAATCAATCATGTAGCTATTTTTTAAAAGTTATTTTTTAAGTTATAACTTGTACACAGTGTTCCACTATTTATTCAGGTACAAAATGACCATTTTATATGGAACAAATGTTAAAAATATCTATAAACAAAATAATAACCTTATAACATTATTAATATTACACATTGAGTTGATAAAATTTCATTTCAATTTACAGCTTTTAAATTGGCAGAATGACATCAATAAGAAAATAATAAGAGCACAGAACACAAAATCTTATCAATAAAATTATAATACAACAATTATTACTATATGTACTGTGTGCACAAATCCCATACTGATTACAGATTCAAAAACAGTAGCTATAAAAACAATTCCATGTCAACTTTCATCTATGCAGACTACGAAAATTTTGGTTACAAATAAATGTGATATTCCCATATATGGATGTAATATGACATCGTCATGCCCATATATGGATGAAATATGACATCATCATGCCCATATATGGATGTAATATGATATCATCATGCCCATATATGTGCACTTCACACAGTTGTCACATACAATTTCATAGTGTGGAAAGAGCTTAAAAGAGGAAATATTATACAAATAATGAATATTTATGAGTGCAATGGAAAGAATATTTTCATGAGTTGAAAGATTGACTGTTTCATTCAAAGAGTCGAAGCCGAGTTGAATGGAACAGTCTATCTTTCAAATCATGAAAATATTCTTTCCATAGCACGAATACAAAACATTCATTATCTGTTTTATAACACACCTAAATAGATCCTTGCCATTTGATCATCTTCCAAGCAAGTGTCCCACTATAAAAGTTTGAATCTAGCCTGGGCCTATCCTCTGCGCAAAATTTTGGCCCTAGCCTAGGCCTATAGCCTGGGCTAGAAATCCATCTGGGCATTTCGGAAAATAAGGGCCAAATTCCGCATAGATTTTGTGCAAACTTGAGCTAGTTTTTAAGGTATCATCTACGCTATTAAAATACTTTAAATACTGTAAATTATAACAACTCCCTGTATAAACAAAATTTCTGATACATTGCACACCGCTAAGACAAGTACAGCAAGAAGTAGGCTTATAGTTATAGGTGACGTGACATCATTTTATGGATTTAACCTTCCAGAAAAGTCAGAAAAAATTGTATTAGGTTGAAGTCATTTCGTATCCATAGGCAACACGCAATGGACAATACGGCTGGAAAAAAAATGCAAAGTGGAACAAAATTTTCATGATGAGTGATGGAATGGGGAAAATAAAAAATGTCACATGGCATGAAATCAACCAATCAAATGACTGGGATTTATTTAGGTGTGTTATAAAAATTCATATTAGATGCATCTTTTCATCTGTGTATCAATAAAACAATTCTTTCTATCTCTAAAACATGACATGGCACACACAGTTCAGACTTACTCTTCTTAAGTTCTTGTTCCATGACCGTCTAGTGGATTGGGTCACATTGTATGTGGAGTTCTGTTGGGGGTATGCTGGGGTTATGATCGGCATCAAATGAAAACGATCTGTCACATTGATCTGTTGACAAAAAAAAATCAAATTCCTTTATTCACTTTATTGCATCAAATAATTGTTTACATAAATCATATACAGAAAAACAAAGTAGAAACCAGTGAAGCAAAAGAATGAGCACCCACAGTCGAAGAAAATGTACATTTACAAACTTGTGATGTCCAATTACTAAAGAAAACAAAACAACTGTAAAGAGTTTTATTCCTTTCAGCAGGTACACTCAATACTCACAGGATAGAATGATACTTTCTTTATACATGTAACACTCTCTATGAGCTTAGTGGGGGGGGGGGGGGGGGGGGGGGGAGGGTTATTGTCACTAATCAGCAAGAAAACTACCAGCTGAACAAATGAGCTCCTCGGAATCTACGGCCAAGCTGGACTCACGCTAACCGATCACCAAATCGCCATGGGCAAAAACTATTTTGGATTGGCAAAAAAAAAGACATCTTTGGGAGAGAAAAATACTGTAGGACCCCTAGAGTAGTGTTGCCTCGATTGCCTTCCCCTCCCCCTCGTACATCTCTGGATCCGCCCTGGCGTGACTCTAGTCAGCCCCTTGGTTCGGACTCCACTGTCAAACATGTTGGACACCATGTCCTGTCAGCAAGTTTTGGCTAATGATATTTAACAATTTTCGTCAAATTTTGACTAAAGAAAAAAAAAAAAAATTGACTTTAGCCAATTGGCTAAACAAAAAAATATGTTAGAGTGAGCCCAGCCAACTATGTTTAGTTTCAGGAACAGTACTTGTTTAGTTTAGTACTTTTGTTTTTACATTGAATTTGACACTCAGCACTATGAATCTGTTGGAAATAGCACGGTATAAATGATTACAGATAGATAGAGCTGATTTTAATGAGTGAGTTGAAACCTTCAACCCAGGACCTTGAGGTTGTAAGTTAAGCATCATTTATTTTTGATTATTATTTTATGAAGAGTAAATTTCATACCATACTCATTGCATGTACAGCATATCTTCCTATTTACAGTACTCATCTATCAACTCACCTACCTTGTTTCCTCCTAATAATACATTTTATATCCCATTAAATTGAGTATGGTAAATGTTATAATACCTAGTAGTCGGCACAGGCAAATGTCCTGTTTGGTGATTATCCACAGCTCTTGTATCAAGTAAATAAGAGGCAGGGGTTTAGCCAGAAAAACGAAATAGGCTGTCCAAAATATGGAGTAGAAAAGACCCAACTAGGCTAGGCCGAGCTGAGTAGGCCAAGCCGTCCAAGCCGTCATGGTAAAGTGGCTGTCCAGATGACGGCCATACGGCTCGCTGACTAAGCCCTTGATAAAAGGTGAACAATACCTGCCCAATTGCCTTTTTTTCAATAAGCCAATCCGAGGTCTGAACTGCGCATGCCCGTATCCATGGTCAATCGAAATCAATCAACATAAACCTACTTTGCGTGTATGTTTCTTTATGTCGATTGACTTGATACGGACATGTGCAGTTCAAAGTAAGAATTGGCTTATTTTAATTTCTATTTATTTAAAACAACATTTACTTAAGGGCTGTGAAAATGAAAGGTTTTAAGTACAAATTTTCTGCACATACCCTAGGATCCCACACTTGGAAGTTGAGTTCATTTTCCTGGAGGGGTTGTTTCAAAAACACTGGTTGAGGCCATTTCCTAAACAAAACAATACAAAATTGTGAATAAAATTTTTTTTTTTTTTTTCATAAAGGGAAATTATTTTATCTTTAACAAAATATTAATTAAACATATATAGTAGCATTTTTTGGATTTCTTCATTTCCCAAATGTTCTCTCTTTCAATTCTGTGCTGGCCTAAATGCTGGTGGAATTTTGCAGTGGTGGATACCACCATCCAGTGCCAACCACCATACCTATAACACTGGACATAGATAAAATCTATCAAAATTTTTCTTCCCGTGTATGTAGCTTCAAGTATGCAATATGCAATGGTTTGGGGCTTTAAAGGGCAACATGTGCTAGCCAGCAATACTACACATACTGAGCCAAGTTAACCAAGTTGGCAATAGTTGTTTAATATTAATGTTCTGATGTTGCGTTATTACCCTTAATAATTGGATTCATGGAGTGGCAACAGGCACAAAGGCCAACCTTCCCAGCAAGTACGCTTTGTCACTGCTTCCGTATGGTGCCGAGTCCAATACATAAAATGCACTATTTCCCACCCTACCAAGTACCCATTTGTCCTCATGTGTTGAGAGAGACAAACAGAAGTAAAGTGTCTTGCCCAAGGACATAAGCAAAATTAACAGCACGGTTTGAACCCTGACCTCAAGACCAAAATGCAAAATGGCACCAAATGCTGCAATAGCGTAAGGGAATAAAAAAAATAGTTAAACTACATTAACATTTTTTAAATGACTAAAAAATTACAAAATAGCTATTATGTCATTTCAGGAAAACTTCATATTTTCAGTTAATCATCACTGTATGGTATTGTAGGGCTGTCTCTTATACACATCTAGATGTGTATAAGAGACAGGTGCAATGGAAAGAATATTTTCATGAGTTGA